TTAAGTTTCCACTTGGTACGCAAGTGATTTCATAATACCTTGGTGTCTAACTCACAGAATCATGGGCGTGCCACCTAGTTTTTCTGTTTCTTTAAATCGCACTTAGGAGTTTAGAACATCATGGCATTACAATAAAACTCGCTTACTCAAGCTAAAACATATCAGACATATATAACCCTTAGTTTCTTCTGTGCGCAAGTGATTTAATAATACCGTGGTGTCTAAACTCACAGAATCATGGGCGCGCCATCTAGTTTTTCTGTTTCTTTAAATCGCACTTAGGAGTTTAGAACATCATGGCATTACAATAAAACTCGCTTACTCAAGCTAAATCATGTTAACCTTAAGTTTCCACTTGGTACGCAAGTGATTTCATAATGCCGTGGTGTCTAAACTCACAGAATCATGGGCGCGCCACCTAGCTTTTCTGTTTCTTTAAATCGCACTTAGGGGTTTAGAACATCATGGAATAACAATAAACTCGCTTACTCAAGCTAAAACATATCAGACATATATAACCCTTAATTCCTTCTGTGCGTAAGTGATTTAATAATACCGTGGTGTCTAACTCACAGAATCACGGGCGTGCCGCCTAGTGTTTCTGTTGCTTTAAAAATCGCATGTGGGAGTTTAGAACGCCATGGCATTAAAATAAAACTCGCCGCACTTAATAGTAAAGTCATTGTCTTTTTTTAAACAATAGTCACCCTTGAAATATGTTAAGGTGCTTCTTAGTGATTTCTCTTCAGGCTTTTCACCGGGGTTCCATTCCTTGTTCTTAATTTCTATACAGTACTCTCGCAAGAATCTTGCGAATACCGAAGGAATACTAATGGCAAAAGTGAAAGTCACCCTTTCCCCCCTGCAAGCAGTTATTGATCAAAAGACTCCCTTAACAATGATTTCTATTCCCATACCTAATTTTCTAAAATCCTGCAATACATAGCTTTTTCGTGACTGGATGAAGAGTTAAATAGCGGCAGCGGTGAGATTTGGTAATTTTTGGCGGGCTTTGGACACTTTTGTGTGGTATTGTTTATTATACTGAATAAGGTGGCTCGAACTTTTGATAAGTAGGACAAAGTGTGAAATTCAATTGAAATTTCTTTTTGGTGTACCGTTTGTTATGCATGGCGAGGTGGTTCTAACATCTGACTCTGCAAAATGCCCGGCGTTATACGCTAGTCAGATGAAAGGTTCTACTTTCTATTCACATTGTTATATCCCTTTTCAGATCTAGGATGCAGTCATATGTAATCGTTGTCTCAGTCGTTGCTGGCGTATCGGTGTTCGCTGTTCTTGTATATTTGGTTTTGAGGATCTACAAGAAAAGGGAGGAACGTGGAACGGACGCGGAAACAAAAGGACTTTGTCCTCCCAGTATAATCCTCACATCGTCTAGTCCAAGCCAGTCCAAGAAGAAACTTTACTCGCCAGTTGGAGGAAGAGCTACATCTAAAGAAACCGAGGAAAAGGTGGCTAAAAGAAAGAAGGAAGAAAGAAGTGTGTGGCATCCGCCAAAGAAGACGGAAGGCTTGCCCATAATAAAAGCTACGATGGTTCAACCGACGGTGGTAGAAAGAAGCAAGGTACGAATGTCAATGTCAGGATTTAGCAAGGGAGTATTAATTGGGAACATTATTTTTACGTCTCCAACTGGAGACGGGACCGCCATTTTGCGTGTTCATGCGAACCACGCGAAGGTGTAGCCGCTTACAGTGCAAAGACTCAGTTATTTTAAGACCCTGAGTATTGGTCGGGTCCCGGCGGGGATCGAACCCGCGACCTCCCGCTCTGCAGTCAAGCGCTCTACCGACTGAGTTAATCCTGCCGCGGACCTTAGGGTTTATCCTAGAAGCGCTTTCGTAAGGTTTGAATGAGGGCGGATAAAGGTTGGGCAATGAAACAAGCGCTTCTGAACAAAAAGGTGTGATGCAGTGGTCTGGGACTCTGCTTGGAAATGTCGCGTGTTTTGGACTTCGGTAAGGGCTTGCGTAGTCTGCGTAGCAGGCGCTTGAAAGTATTAAATGGGCGTAAGAAAGAACGGACGAGCGAGGCGCGCGAGGGAGATAAGCGAGGCGAGAGAGAGCTACCTCTTCCCTCACGTGTCTCCCTCGCACGCGCCCGTTCTATCTTGCGGAATCGGAAATCTACAGAAAAAGTCATGCTGCACGTACGCGCGTGCAGAGTTGTTGTTTTGCTTATTAATCTTTCTCTTGTGTTTAATTTGCTCCAGGAACAAGGCAGAAGAGGACGACTCACCTTCACACTTCATTATCATTATCGATATGCTTCAAGGAGGTAAGTGGATGTTCTTTTCATGCCATGTAATGTCGGCCCAAATGTGTTTACGGGGCTCTGTCAAGGGAATTCTTGTTATAAGGGTGTTATAATTTTGATGAGTACCTTTCCTTTCCTAATACTGACTTCTCCAACACGAAGGCAGAGTTCTATTAAAGTCTTGGAAGAAAAATACAGGATATGATTTTTTTTGGCAATTTTTCATGAAAAAACTTGATAATTTACTTTACCTTTTTTTAAACTGAGTTGCAGTCCTTTTCCTCCTAGTCTGCTACACAGCCGTTTTTGGCGTCGTCACGCAACGCTCCTCCCCAATCTTGGGGAGGAGCGTTGCGTGACGACACTAAAAACGGCTGTGTAGCAAACTGTTTTCCTCCTGGCCAACCGAAAATAATTTTCTGATTTGTTAGCTGCTGAACTAATGGCACTTTTTTCTAATCAAATAGTAAATAGGATACCTTAGCTGAATCTTGAGTGGCGACAAAATAAACAAACAAACAAAATAACAGCAACAGCGCACCACGTGTGAAACCCGACATGCTCGCTCCAACCCCAGTCCTCGTTTATCACTGGCTCTGAAAACTTTGTAACTTGGTTTTTCTCAGGCAACAAGCAAACAGAGTTTTTAGTTCATATGCTTTTAAAGAACTCTAACCAAACCTGGAGCATTTTCTGTTTAAATGTTGTAGGTACATCTTTAGTTTCCTTTTTTTTACTCAACGGGCGGTAGACTGCGAGCAGTCTATCTGTTTCTTCAGATTTAGTAAGGTGAGTGCACGCGCGCGCGAGTGTTGAACGGTGTAGCCGCGAGACACGAGAAACGAGGGCGGCAGCCCGAGAAGAAAAATTTCGTGCCTCTTCCGTCTCGCGCCTTCAGTCACGTGCGTTTTCATTTGCGTGTCTCGGGCGTTTTGCTCGACGGACCAAGAAAAAAGAGGAGACTGCTCGTAGTCTAAACGGGCGGGTGCCCTGTTTACTGAAGAAAAGTGACCTCGCCTTATCAGACAAAAAGTGCGGAAAATGCAGAGTATTTTCCCCTTTTGCTTTGCAATAATTTCTCCTCAAAACTGGTCCGCTTGATCGCCCTTAAATTATTTTTTAATGTTTATTTTTGTTAGATCTGTGCTTCTGGTAAAGCTTGACAGCGCGCAGGATCTTCCTGCCAAAGATGATGACCTGCTACCAGATGTTTTCGTTAAAACTCAGCTTATTCCCAGCCGCAAACGAGTTTACATCTCCAAAGTGCACAGAGAAACTGCCAACCCTGTCTTCAACGAAGCTTATGAATTTGACATTGAGTACCCAGAACTTCAGCAACAGCGGCTTTTATTTCAAATTCTTGACTATGATTGTATGTCTCGTTACAAACCTATTGGGGAAGTCAGCGTGCGTTTGGCCGAGTTAGGAACGCATGGATTTAATATTTTAAGAGAGATTTCTCTCTGTGTTTATATTTCTAGACCTCAGAAAGAATCGTCTCTTTGAGGTCCGGTAAGACATAGGTTTTTCGACGTAAATTATGTGTATATAGCTTTTTTGAAATATTCTCATTGTAAATATAGGGTAATAATTATAGTATTAGATTTTCCGCTGGATGTAACACCTGGTAGTCTAAATACTTCAGGGGCACCCATCGAGAATATAGTTTAAAACCACTTAAACATAGCATTGTTGAACGTATTTTGGTATTTAAACGGTAGAAATAGACATATTTTTATCCCCTAAAGTTTTTTCATCTGTTCGGAATTCCTAGCTGAAAGTCCAGTGATCCGAAAATTATATGGATCAAACCTTACCTTTTCGAAAATTTCAGCCAGGAAAAAGGCTCCCGAAAATTCTAGGTGACCTCTTTAGGGTAAAAATCCGTTAAAAATGGGCAATTATACCATTTTTTAGATGTTCGAAAATCCTAAGAGAGGCAGGCAAGCAAGAAATTTTACTACAAATGTTTCGAAAATTCTAGATCTCAAATCGTTTTCCGAACAGATATTTTCCGAAAACTGATGTTGGGTGCCCCTGACACTTGCCTATTAGGACACCGGCACAAGAATCGCAAGAAAAAAATCATTTTATTCTCTTATGTTGTCGCCTGAGAAAACAGCCGGATTTCGCGACGTCTCGTTTGCTTTCCCACGAAATGACTTCTGATGAACGACTGCAGAAATTCCATACTGATGACGTGCGTGTTACTATCCAGGGGCCCGTTTCTCGAAAGGCCCGGTAACTTTTCGGGTCCGAAGGCAAATTTTGAAATCGTAACCTGTTTAAAAGTATTTTGAATAGAATTTTTCCTCGTTAACTGATAATTTCATTGTATTACTTTCAAAATTTTTCAAACTTTAATGTTGAATGCAAACACGGCAAACATAAAACAGCTTTTCGGGCCCGAAAGTTATATTGGTATTTTCGAGGAACGAGCCACAGATCTTATTGGTTAAAAAATTGCTTCAACCAATCAGAAGACCTACCTTGATCTGGGTTGCCACACGTCATCAGTGTGGAATTTCTGCACCCGTTTCTCAAACGTCATAGTGGCGTGTTCCGAAATGTCTGCTGTTTTGTCAGACTGTCTATGATTTTTACTGAAAGCAACAAAAGGACTATTTCAGTGTGATTACGGTTTATTTTTTTAATTTATTTTAAAGGGATACTACAGGAGATATATCAAACCCAAAGTGTGTTTGCAACAATGAAACATGAGATAAAAGGTTCCTTGCTTTCTTAAGAAGTACTTTATAATGGCAATAAAACTATTTACGGTTGTCTTCGCTACGAACGATGAAGAAGACTGCACCTTGAAATGCAGACTAACCTCTCCTTACGGACACCTCTATAATGCAGACACCTCTCTATTACAGTTTCTGGTCCCAGAAATGCCAAAAATCCTCCATTCCCTACCTCTATAATACGGACACCTCTGTAAAGCGGACACCTGGTTCTGTCCCTTTGGTGTCCCGTATTAAAGGGGTTTGATTTTAGTTAGGCTAACTTTTTTTAGGTTGTCAGGCCACTGTGATATAGCTCGGTAACTTGTTTTCATATGAGGTTATGAACTCCTTGATCGGTATGACTAATAATAGTTTCCTTTCTTGTCTACCATGCATTACCGTGAAATAAATAGTAATAGTTAATCTCTTGTCTGAAGAAAAAGATGCGAATTCATTGAAAGTGGTCACAATGTAATTTTAAAGCACCTTTCTAATTTGCAGTCACTCATGGCCATCAAAGCCTAAAGGTGATGTTACATGGGACGTGTCGCAACGACGATTTTTTGCGCAACACAGCATTGCAATGTTGGAACAATGTTGCCACGCTGTGTTGCGCTAAAAATCGTTGTTGTGAATCGTCCCGTGTAACATCATCTAAGGCCCTTCAGTCTTATTTTATTCTTCTCTTGAAATGCTTTTGAATTCCGCTTAAATTGAAGTAGATTTTTGGACATTTCCTACTAACAGCCCCCTCGGACTGCTAACACTTCAGATCATACTTAGCCCCATTCAATAATTGTTAGTTGTCAGCAATAAAGACTGCCGCTGTGGCTGGATTTTGCAGTTCGTTTGTATCCAATCAGAATTAAGATGGAAACAAATATGAAAAATACCGCAAACCCTCTATTAAGCCTCGCCTCTCTAATAACCCCCCCCCCTCAACCTTTCCAGGCAGGGAAGAACGTTAGTAAGCCCCCTTTCTTTTAACCTAGCCTTTATTCCTAAATGACAGAAAAATGATAGCAAAAACAACAAAAATGTTCTGTGATTACAAATCGCCTCGACAATAGACCTTATTCACGATGTCCACCATCTTTGCCACCTGTTGGGATTGATGGGATAAAAGCAATGTCACGTGGTATTTCGGGGAAAGTGATAAAATTGGGCAATACGAGTAATCGCGATCGAGTTTATTTATTCTCTCAAAATGAGAAGACATTTATTTTAGTCTTACAAAATGTACAGTTCGAGTTTCGACAAGTTTTACATTATTACGGCCTGCTGTCAGAACATCTGCGGTGTCGCTACTACATCCAAAAAAGGTAACAATGAGCACTTCCACCATCGTCTTTTGACAAAAAAAAAAAAAACCTTCTTTGTTTTCTATTTTTTAAGAAGAAACAAACTCGTCTGCGATTTCTTGTATTGATCACTACAGAAAATACCGTAACATACCATAATGCTCTTTGCTTTTGTCACCCCAAAATTTTGCATAAGCATTGTCTTCAGTTTCTCTTGGGAGTTGACCAACAAAGAGAATTATGGTATGCTATGGTATTTTCTGTGGCGCTCAATTAGCAGATTTTATCACTTGCTTGCCTCCTTAGAAACCACGTGACATCGCTTTTGTCCCATCAGTCCTTAAGTGCGTGCAAAGATAGCGGGGATCATGAAGAAGGTCTATTATCCTGATTCCACCGCTCTCTCTGCTCCGGTCTTGTTTCTGACTTAACGTCAGACTGTATGGCCGCCCCTGAGTGAGGAAGCAGGTGCTGCCAAAACGTATCGTCAGTTAGTTGAACAATGAACCTTCGGCATAAAAAATGAAGCTCGTAGGCAACTGAGAAACAAAGGCCGGGGAGGTGTGTTTCAGATAATCGTCATAAAGCTGATGGAGGAGGATTGCACCTCAAAATTTTAGGCTTGCATCGCACTTGTGTTGAACATTCGTTGAGTGCTTCAATGTATAGAAGACAAAGCGTAGAAGAATTACTTGCCAATGATTTTTTATGGTTTTAGAATACAAATTAATGGAAATCATACGAAAAAACGAAAGAAATGCAAGCACAACATTGGTATTTAGTGAAGGATTTTAGTTTACTGTTTGGCTGGAAATAGTTTTGCTAAGTTTATCCGTCTTTCGTCTGTTTCTACTAAGCTGTATTCAAACGCACTATTTAACAGGGAAAAGGAACTTGTAAACCGAGGCAGCAGTTTTTCTAGATGCGTCTTACTGATTCCATCCTGTGTATCTCTAATATTCTCAAACGCGCTTTTCAACACGGAAACGGAACTAGTTAAAAAGAAGCATTTTTTTCTACAGATGTGTACCTCACTGTTTTTTCCTTGATTTGTTACTGACCTTATAAATCCCAAGGAACTAACCTGATAAACAACAAAGTGTGTTTTTAACAGCTTGCCTAAGTTCTCTCATCTTCCAGAAATAAATCAATGGATTTAAAGAAGAATTTAAGAAAATTAGAGTCTTTGTAAATTCCCTAGCAAGATAACCCGATAAAGGTATCCCTCTCTGGGGTGTTACAGCCTGCGCTATAATAAAAGGAAAATAGCAAAAAGCTAATACCAGCTGTATCCACAGGGCATTAGAAACTGCTTTCCTGTATCGGGCTTTGTTCAGGAGTGTTGTTTGCTGGAGCTGACCTTGAAAAGAGCGATCCTGTACTTGAATACGGTTACAACGCAGAGTGACAAAAATTTTTGTGTAAGAGATACCGGAGACGACGAGACACAGAGGTA